AAAAACATCAATTCTAGCACTGATCTGTGACTAAACACTTACACTGATATCGGTAGGGAGGAGGATGAGGAGGAGAAGGACCAGGAGGAGGAGGAGGACGAGGAGGAGGAGGACGAGGAGAAGGAGGAGGAGGAGGTGGATGAGGAGGAGGAGGAGGAGGAGGAGGAGGAGGAGGAAGAGAGAGGGGCAGTGGGAAAAAGGAGTAGCAATATGCCTTACTCAGCAGGACTGAAATATCTGGCGATTGTGCGCAACTCGACTCCAGCTGGATCGCGGCCTCTGCTTGCAACTGATCTCTGCCACTGGCCGCTGTGCACGCGAGTTCCTATACCTTTATCTTCCCTCGTTGCGTGGCCTGCGCTTCCGCCGGGCTGCTGGCAACGCAAGTTCAAACGAGCTTGGATGGAAGACGCATTTGCGCACGGGGTTACTGGGACATGAGCACTGAACAGAATTTCCGCATGTAATTTCCTTTTAACGCAGCGGCGTTGCGGACGTGGTTGAAACAAGAACGGCCTACGCCAGCGACCCGCCGCAAACAGCGAGCTTCGACTGCATCCAATTTGTTGTTCTCTGCGTGGCCCAACCAGGGCGTGTGCATGCAGTCCAGCAACTTGGACATGGTGCAAAATTGAAATATGGCCACCTTCCTGCGCAACGCCACCCTGGCTTGCTTCGAAACTTGACAAAGTTTCCAAGCCAGCGGTTGCCATGCCGAGTCGGCGACTCAATTCGCGGCCGCTCCTTCCGGAAGCACGCAAGAAGCCGCTCAAGCAGATCATGCCTTCCTTGTCCAGAATGTGTTGTCCATACGTCATGACCAGGGCCGCCTCGCATCGCACCAGCACGACTCGAATCTTTCCCACGATTGAAAGCGAGGCCGTAGTTCGACCCGGCCCGTTGGATTTCAGGCATGGGTCTGCTCGCGAGCTTGCCCCGCACCCCAACCACAAGTGCACCTTCTGCGCACGTGTGCATGGTGTCACTAGCGGTGAGCCAGTTTTCTTGGACTGGCCCACGCGTGTGCAGAAAGCCCGGCTGGCATCATGCGTCAGAGCTGTCCTGACCACCAGGAGCAAGAGTGGCGACAGAGGGCATCCCTTCGATACACCGAATGGCTGGCAGTCGCGATGCAGGCGTCGCCTCCGCGCCTCGGACTCGAACAGACTGGCCGGAATGGGTCGCCCAGGTTGCCTCGGCAAGCTGCAGCGTCGCGCCGACGCGGGCGAGTGCCTGCACGAGGCTGTACACCTGGCCTGCACGTGGCCTGTGCGGACGAGTGCCTGCACGTGGCCCGTCCCCACGCGGCCGTGTCTGGCCTGCATGGCGCCTTCCAGAAGTCACCGTGGCTTTCGTCGTCTCCGGAGGCTCTGGCTCGCTTTAGTTTTTTTGTAGCACTGCATACCCTGGGCTACGCGCAACCAGCAGGTCTGGACCAATCGGTGAAGGTTCTTCAGCAGCGCTCACCAGCCGCACCGCCAGCTGCACTGAGGAGAAGTAGTCTGCCAATGTGTCGGCGTGCTGTTCGCTGTCCACGAGAGTGCCTGTCACGTCCCTCATGCGGCCTTGCCTTGCCTGGCGACTCCTCCGAAGATTGCAGATCTCTGCTCAGTCTCCAGTGGCAAGGTCATCAAGCCACCTGCTCTGGTCAGCCTTCACAGATGCTTTGATCCTGCCAGTGGTTTGCTTCTCTTTGGTGTAGTGGCCGTCTTTCCTGCTGTCGCTCCGCGAGGTGAACAGCTCCAGGGTGGCGCTGCTGAACCAGGGGCGGTGCCAGGTCGTTGGCCGAGAGCATACCCTTGGGACAATCGATGTCTTGGGGATTCTCTTGGGGCCCTCTTGAAGCGTCTTGGGGGCCTCCTGGGCCGTGGGGAGGCCATCTTGGGTACCCTTGAGACCGTTCGGGTGTGTTGGCGCCCTCCTTGAGCCGTTTAGGGCAGAGGTGGTGGATTTCGAAGCTCCGCGGCCCGGAGGTGCTTGGGCGAGGGGACCCTCTTTTGAACGAGATTTTTGGTCCTGGGGGAGGGAGGAAGGGGGAGGGGGACAGCCAAATGTCTCACACGCCTCCTTGCCCCTAGCAAGCGGGGTCGGTGGATAATATCGATGGTGATTGTGATGGTTGGTCGATGATGATCATGGCTAGCATGCTGATGGCGACGATGACCCCAAGGATGCTGACGGCGCTGGATGGTTTTTGCGATGATACGGATGGGGAGGCAATTGGACGGGTTGCGGGCAAAACCATTCGTTCGGATACGAGATCTCGCCCTGGCTGCAGCCAAGGCTGAGCAGACCTGACAGGCAGCTTGTTCAACTATCTAATGGCATTCGGCCCATCCCGCCACTGTGCCTGGGTAGTGGGTATGAAGCCTATCGGATGTTCGTCGGGATCTCGCGGGAGGCTTCTCGGGGACCTCTTGGAGGCAGTTTGGGCACCTCTTGGTTTTTTTTTGGGGGGCCTCTTTTGAGCCTCTTGGGAGCTCTTGGAGGCCTCTTGGGGGCCTCGTGGGGTGTCCTGGGCGCCTCTTGGCGCCTCCTGGGTGTCTCTTGGGGCGGAAGGCTAGGATTTTCGGTTCTTTTCTTCTCGGGCCCTTTTTGGCGCCGTCTTGGGGTCCTGTTGGGCCCTTTTCGGCACCTGATGGGCCGTCTAGGGGCCCTCTTGGGCCGTTTTGGGCCTCTCGGGAGCCTTTTGGGGGCCTCTTGGGGCCTCTGGGGGCCTCCTGGTGCCCTGTTGGGGCGGCAGGCTCGCAGCCACCATGTGGGGCCCCTCTTGGGACCGTCTGGCGGCTCTCTGGGGCCGTCTTGGGAGCGTCTTAGACCGACTTGGGGCCCTCTCATGCAGTCTTGGAGGCGTCTTGGCGGTCTCTTCGGACACGACCAGAAGGCCAAAAACATTCAAAGACCTGAATTTTGCTCTCGGGGCCCTACTCCGTCTTGGGTCCATCATGGGGACCTCTTGGAGTTCTGTTGGCCCGTCTGGGGGCTCTCTTGGGTCCCAAGAAGTCACGCGAAAGACCGCGCCAGAGCCCAGGGGAACCGCGCCACGCCCCAGAAGAGTTGTGCCGAATGGCTCCGAACCCTTTAAAGACTCCTCAGGAGCGAAGACTGAGGCTCAGAGGGGGAGCGAGAGGAGAGGACCTGAGGACACATCCACTCAGTGCGTCGAGGCACGGTGGCGGATTGCGCACAGGCAAGCAGGGAGGATGCTTGCCCTGGTGGGGTTGCCCCGACTCGTTGTGCATGTCCGCCCGATAAAAACTCGCGTCTGGGCTTGTTCATCCCGACTCAAGCGCTGCTTGCGAGGTCGTTCTGATCGGCGCGTTGGCCACATCGATTCAGCGCCTCTTGCTCAGCAGGCCCCCCGACTCAGAGCGCCAAGCGTGTCAGGACCGACAGGGTGTGTGGACATGCTCTCGGAAAAGGCGTCCGCTTTTTGTGTCCGTCGCGGTCCCTCGGTGCACTCATTTCGTGCCCACACTCCAACATTCTGTAGCACCATTTCCCCGAGCAGTGCGTCATACCCAAGCAGCCAGCACGCCAGTGTGGGGCGTCCGTGGGCATCTCTTGGGACCACGCAATGGTTTGTTTATGGCTGCGGTGATCTCTGCTTGGCCGTGCTGATGCAGGCGCACGAGCACATGCACGTCTGTTTGGTGTTGAGCCGCTGGCGCAGTGGCAGTCAGCGTCGGCGTCAGCCGCATCGAACTGCAAATGCGCACGACATGCGATTCGCGCACCAGCGTGCACGTGTCTGGGTGTCTGCGCGCTCGAACGCACACGCGCGCGGACCCACGCCTGCGCGCACACGCGCACACGGTTCGCGCAGGCGTATAAATACGCGCCCCAGCCTTGGACCGCGAAGCATTTGTCGCGCGCGCGTTTGCGCACGAAGGCATGTGTGCAACATCGTTGCAGCCAAGACGCTAAAGTAAGGAATATTATGGGTTCAGATGTGGCTCGATGTTCCTCAGGTCCTTCCGTGGCTGTTTCTCTGGCGCCCCTCGTCCACGCAGGCGCTTGTGGGGCCCAAAGGGGGAAGTGAGAAGGGGAAGGCCTTCTCGCTCGGAAGTTCCCTGGCCTTTGAGAAGTTTTCGAATACTTCCCCGAAGACACAGAAAACTTTTCAGAAGGCCAGAGGGCTTTGAGAAGTCCGGCCGCCTTCTGAGAGGGCCTTCTCCTTCTCACTTCCCTCCCTCGCTCGCCGAGGAGGAGGAGGAAACGGAGGAGGAGGAGGAGGAGGAGGAGGAGGAGGAGGAGGAGGAGGAGGAGGAGGAGGAGGAGGAGGAGGAGGACGCGGTGGAGCAGCAGGAGGGGGAGGAGGATGATGCGGCAGAGGATGAGGAGGGGGAGCAGGTGCAGGGGGAGGGCGGTGGGGGGGAAGGAACAGTAGGAGGGCGGGGAGCATGGGAGTCGGAGGAGCGCTCCTTGTCTCAGCAGCCCGACCGTACGTACACAGCGTCGGCAGCATGCCGCGCCAGCCCGAGCGCGGGCGCGATGCGCTCCTCACCTGCCCTCCCGTGCCCGCCCTCGTCCTGTCGGCTCGAAGTGCGCTGGCCCCGGCCGGCTGCCCTCCATTACACACACCCCCAGACCTCCAGAGGATTTGATGATGCTCAGAGCGTGTGTCGGCGGCGATCGAGGTGGGGAAGCGAGGAGGGGCGGGCCTCCTCAGCAGGCTCGGAAGTCCCCCGGCCTTCTGAGAGGTCTTCTCCCCGAGGACACGGGGAGCGTCTCAGAGGGCGCGAGGGCTCCTGAGGAGTCCCGCCGCCTTCTGGGAGGGCCTTCTCCTTCTCACTTCCCCCCCGCGCTCGCCGCCAACTGATGATGCTCAGGACGTGTGTTAGCCCAGTGTGCGTTCACCCCGCTCAGCTTCACCGATGGTACGTACAATACCGGAGGGTTCCGGTGGACAAGCACACCTCGGCGCGAACGCGGTCTGAGGATCATCGAGGGACTTCTTGATCCGCGGACCCCAGAGGTCTCGACCCCTTCCCGTGGGGCAGCTTTTCGTCCCGAATCGGCTTCTGGTGGCTGCGGAGCCCGAGAAGGGGCCCCTGGCCATTGAAGTCGACGAGGGAGGTCAGGTTTAAGAAATTCAATCCGCTGGAGGTCGGGGTCATCATCATCAAACATGTCGTAGAGTCAGTGACGCGGCTCCAGAGGGAGCCTTCGTCTTTTGTGTGTTGGTCCTGCTCCGTCATCCGCTATCTGAGGCCTAGGTGTGCCTCCCCTGGAAAGACAGCCAGGCAGACCCTGGCCAGGGGCTGGTAGTAACAAAACGCAGAGAAGGAGATGGATATCATAAATGCAACATGTATACATATATATGTATATATGTACAAGACTGTATTGACGCTTCGCGCCATGCACCTTGGTCCTGAAAGCTTGGTGTGCAGGCGGAATGGGAAGAAGGTCAAACCGACAATTTGCGATAACATCTTGTTGCCTTTTCCGGCATCGCCATTATAATAAAGTTATTAGTTTTCTTTTTTTTCCATGGAACACAGCCCGTCATGTGTTTTCACGCCTCAGCCAGCCAAGCAAAGGGGCTCGCACTGCCACTGCAAGTTGCCCCTGCGTACGACAGCGCCGAGCAAGCCTTATGCCCGCGGTTCCTGTCGAAGCGGGCCGGGAGGACGCAACAACTAGAAAAAAGAAGAAGTTATTCGTTTTCCTTCCTCCATGTTTCTTTTCCTTCATTCTCGCCCTACCCTGCGGATTCTCCCCATCCTCCTCGGCTCTTTTTGCGGAGGCTCCTCCTTGGAGAGCCTTTGGGGGCCTCACGGAAGTTTTTCAAGCTCTCTTGAGGCCTTCTGGAGCTCTCCTGGGCGTCTTCTGAGGGCCTCTGGGGGCTTCCTCGGGCCAACCTGCCTCCAACCGCGGTCTCCCTGAACTGCCGGTCACGATTTGGAATGCTTCGGAGGGTGTCTTAGGGCCATTTTGGGCCGTCATGGGGCTCTCTTAGGCCTTCTTGGAACCCTGATGTGCCATCTTGTGGCTCTCTTGGACTGCCTGGAAGGCGTTTCGGATGGTTGTGGGGCGATTTTCGATCCTCCCAGGCGGCTTCGGGCGTCCAGAAGACCGTTGTCTTGGAGCGTCGGGAAGCCAAAAAGAGGAGAACCCCACAATTCACCAAAAACCATAGAACATCAATGAATTTTGCCTCTTGGGGCCTTCTGGGGAGTGCTCTTGGAGGCCTCTTGGGACGTTTTTGGAGCGATCTTTGGAGGCATGACGGCTTCTTTGGGGTCGTCGTGGGCCGTCTTGGGGCTCTAGGGTCGTTTCGGGAGCGCGCCGGAACGCCCCTCTGGGGCCGTCGTCGGGCTCTCGTGAGGTTCTCCCGGGTCGTCTGGAAGGTTGCCCGAGAGGCCTGGGGTGGGCCAAATTGTGTGTGTGTTTTTTCCTGGGTCCCTGGCTATAAATGTACATACACATACGCATACATATACATTTGCATATCTACATATACGTATACATAATCATATACACATGCATTTACACATCCATATACATATACATATACACATACAAACACATATACGTTTACGTATACACATACACAAACACATACATACATATATGCAAATACATTTACACAAACACGTACACATACACACATACAGTTGCATATGCATATGCATCTACACATCCATATACAAATGCATTTACATTGACATATGCATACACATGTACACATACGCATACATATACATATACATAGACACATCCAGACACATTTACATATACACATACACGTACATACACATACATACACACGCATAGGTATACACATGCTCACACACATCTACAGGTACATGTACACACATATACATACACATATACATATACGTAGACATTTTCATAATCATATACATATGCATATACATATACATATACATGTACACACATATATACACATGCATGCACGCATGCATACATACATGCATGCCTGTCTACATACATTCATACATACATACATACATACATACATGCACACATGCATACAAACATACATACATACACACAAACACATACATACATACATACATACATACACATACATACATGCATGCATGCATGCATGCATACATGCATGTAAGCATACACACATACATACATACACATACATATATACATACATACATACATACATACATCCATCTATACATACATACATACATACATACATACATACATTCATACATACATGCATACATACAAACATGCATACATACACACATACACACATACATACACACATACCTTCGTGCGTACGTACACACATACATACTGACATATCTATTCACACATCTTAATGCGTATACGCATATCCGGTAAGGATGCCCATCCCTCGTTTTAGTTTTTTTTTGGCTCCCGGGCCGCCCTCGTCGCCACTGCTGGATTCGCCTCGGAACTCGGGTCGTAGCGGTTGGGCGTCGCGTAATGTAGAGGCGATAAATGGGGGGCAGCGAGACCTGCAGAAAAGGGGGCCCTTGAGGAGGGCTTGAGGACCCGAAAAGTGCACCTTTCTCACCTCTCCACACCTATCGCTCCATTTTTAAGCGACGCCCAGGTAGCGGTATCGTGATCTGATCGTGTCCCCCGATGGTCCAACGAGGACGAGGGAGCGGCACGGCTCATTTGATTGGCCTTGTTTTCTATTTTTTTCGCCTCTCGGCGGCCCCAGGGCGGAATCGAGAGGGGACAGGCCTTCTCGGAAGGCGGCGGCGCTTCTCAGAAGCCCTCCAGCCTTCTGAAAAGTCCCTGTGGCCTCGGAGAGGGCTCGGAAGGCTTCTCAGAAGGCCGGGGCCTCCTGAGCCTTCGTAGAGAAGGCCCGCCCCCTCACCAGACACGCAATGTCTTGACTTTTTCAATGCGGGGTCCTGGGACGTCCCGACCCCTTCCCCAGGCCAGTTCTTCTTCATCCCGAGCCCCCTTTTTTGACGGTCCCGGGGCCCGGCGAGGGCCCCAGGAGTCGGGGGTGGACAGAACCCCCAACAGTGGCGCGTCGATTAGTGAATTGTCCGTTTTCGGTTCTCGAGAGGGCGCCGTGGCCATTATTTTCCAGGCTTGCGCCCGCCAGGTTTGGGCCTCAGGTCGTTTTCACTAAACCACGTTTTACTAAAGGGAGGTCTGTGCATCCCCGAAGGAGGCCAGAAGCGGTCAAGAGTCTCCCGTTGTGCCGCTGTGCTGTTGTGACGACGCATGCCCGTCTGCGCCGCCGCGTGCATCCAGTTCCCCGCAGACCTGCAGCCGCGCCGCCGCCCGCGCTGCCCACGGCCACCCGCCCGGCCATTGGCTCTCTCTCCACGGCCACCTGCCACTGCAGCTGGAGCCCTGCGAGCAACACAAGAAAAAACACGGGAGAGGACCGCCCTCTTCTCGTACCAAAAGTTAGAGAAGGACATAACAATGATATATAACATATAAAAAACAAGAACAATAAACAAGAAAACACGGGAGAGGACCGCCCTCTTCTCATAGCAGAAGTCAGAAGGACATCACAATGAGATATAACAAATAAGAACATCGAGCACGGGAGCTCGGCCCGGAGGGCCTCGAGGGCCGCCCGCCTCCGGGCGGGCCTGGCGCCGGGCGCGCGGCCGGGGCCGTGCGCCTCGCGCCCCGCTCGGGGCCTGGGCGGCGCGAGGCCGTGGGCGGCCGGGGCCCCGAAGCCCCCCCCCCGCCCCCTGGGAGGCCTGGAGGCTGGGGCCTTCCCGCTCTCAGCGGGCCTCCCCCCGCGCTCGGTGGCCTCTCGGGCCTCCCCCGCGCTCCGTCCTCTGGGGGATCGAGGGTGAGGCCTCGGTTTCGGCGGTGTGGAGCGCCGCCCGCGGAGCCTTCCAGTCCCCCGCGTGGGCGGCTGCCTTCGGTCGACGATCCTCGGGGCGCCTTCCAGCCCAGGGTGTGTGAAACCCGTTCCGCTCCACCGATAGCGCGCAGCGTGTCTCGGCCCTCGTTGCGCTGCGTGTGTCGCCTCGGAGGGCTTGCGTGGGCATGCGCACGCTTGCGCTAGCGCGCTGTTTGAGGATCGTCGATCCACCGACGGAGGAATATGCCGATATCGGTGATTTAGGCTCCCCAAGTGGGGTCGGAGTCGATGGGGTCGGAACTTTGCGCAGCGTCGTTGATGCATCAGCGATGCGGCTTGATGTGGAGCCCAATGTCCTCCGCGCCGATGGCGCCGATGCATCGGCGATGGTGCGGCGCGATCTTCCGACGCCATCCACGTGGACCCCACTTGGGAGGCCTAGTGATGGTCGTGGTATTCGGGCTTCGACGTGGCCAAAACATTACCGCCAACACCAGAGTCCGGGATCCTCTTCACATGGCGGAGGCACCCCCTTGGTTCTGGTCCAGGTGCTGGTAGTCATGATGGTGGGACGTTCCAGGGTTACTCCAAAATCTCAAAGATTCCCTGTTGTTCCGCACGGGCCCCAGAAGCGATGGCCGCTGGATGCTCCGTGATTCCTGGAGCGTATCCTGAGCCAACTGTATTCTGACATTATCGTCGTCCTATAGCGGAGGGAAGAAATGGCGTTGACCTGGCCAAGACGTCGAGGGATATTGTCGACGCCGATCTTTGTCATGGTCCATGCTGGCCGTCGCCGATTTGCGGGATGATCCACGAATAGACGGTGACCATATGGACGATGACCAAGTTCGACACCAGCGTTTGTTATCGTTTTTGTGTCCTTTCAAATATTGTCCCCGAGATCCGACGATGCAAACAAACATGCAAAATCACCGGAAATCGAGACCAGAGCCCTCGACCCCACCTTTCTGCAACATTTTTCCGAACCCGAGCGACCCGTGGCGGTCCTGGGGCCCGAAACCGGACGAAATGCCAGATGTGAAAAAATGCAGCGCCTGGATTTGAGGGGTCCGTCTGGGTCCCATGCCTGCTTTCGTCGGACGGGCTGGGGCGAGGAGAAGTCCGTTCCAGAGCGTTCCGGAGTGCTCTCGGAGCGTTCCGGAACGCTCTGAGACGGCCGCGGCGCCCGAGTCCTCCTCCAGAGCCGCTTTAGGCCAGAGACTCTCGATTCAAGTTCACCCTAAACTACCGCGTCCTGGCTTCGTTTTAGAGGAGCTCCCGTGGCCCATGTCGGCCTTCGGCGGGCAGGACCAACGCCGGCCAGCCGACGCACCGTAGCACTCGCGGGGGTCCGCGGGATGGGGCCCGCGCGGCGGCGGGGCGCGGCGTTGTGGTCCGCCGTGCTGCTGGCGGCGTGCCGGGGGTCGGCCGCGCACCAAGCGCAGGGGTGGCGGGGCAGCCACCAATGAGTCAAGGGAGGAAAAGGTACCGACAGCGCTCCCCGCCCCCTTGTTTTTGCCTTTTGGGGCCCCCTTGGAGGCCCTCGCCACCAGGGCTGGATTCGTCTCGAGATTCTGGTTCGAACGCACCCCAGGGGGGGGTCCTCGTGGTATCTGTATCGAAGACGCCTGCGGCGAACCTCCGCCGCCCCCCGCCTTCTAGAGTCGCCCATGTGGCCGAGCGTTGTGGCAAAAACTCTGCCAAGGTATCGGGCCATGTGTTCCCCCTACCGTTGTGGAAACCCTTCGGGTAACGTTTGGGGGAAGATGGCGGGGAAGATCAGGAGGAGGCGGAGGAGGAGGAGGAGGAGGAGGAGGAGGAGGAGGAGGAGGTACCCAGCCTGTGTGTAAGCAGAGACAAGGAGGGGGGCGCGCGACTCTCAGGCCGTCTCCGGGGGACAGGCGAGTCATGGTTGTATCATGTAACCGTAGGGGCAGAGGCAGATGAGGATGACGACAAAGGGCACGGGGGTGGGCATGGGGAGGGTGTGGAGGAGGGGGAAGGGAGGACTTGGGAGGACTTGGGAGGAGGAGGGGGAGGAGGAGGAAGAGGAAACGGAGGAGGATGAGGAGGAATATTTATAAACAGCGATAATAATGATATTAACGATCGTAATACTAAGAATGCTGATCATAAGAAGAAGGGGGATGACAACGATACTAATATAACACATACCACGAATGCAAACATATATGAAGAAGAGAAGGAGGAACCATATCATTAGTAATGATATGGATAATACTAATAGTATCATCCAGGATAAGGATCCTCATGCGAGGAAGAAGAAGGCGAATCGTCAGAGCAGTATTAATAACAATGCTAACACTAATGAAATAGTGCGAATAAAAAAAGGAGCAAGACGAGGAACACTAATACTAATGCTCATGTTAACTAGAATAAAGTAGTATTCATAATAGTTATAGTACAACGAGCACTAATCGTAACGGTACTAACAATCTACTAACATAGAGGAGAGTGCGGACATTATTCATATTACGAATAAGAAAATAGTACGAATCATACGGATACGGATATCAGTAATACTAGTCGTATTGATAATACCACTAACAGTATTCCTACTACTACTGCTACTACTATGTTTTGGCATTGTTTAAAACAGTATGACTGATGCTAGCACGAATGAACATATGACGAGCAAGACGAATACTAAAGACACCATCGATGTTATGAACAATGATAGCACTATTATCTATGTATAATAATACTACTCACACTACTATTCATAATACTAATGGGAAACTATCATACGAATAACAGTTGTAAGAACACGAGCGCTACTAAAATGAAGAAAATGAATAACACTTAACAGTACGAATTATATTATTGATAATGCGATGCGAACAATATTAAGACTGATATTATTACTAAGAGCAGTAACGAGACGATGCATAATACGAAGACTAATCATATTACTAATTCTTAATACTCATAAGTCAACGAAACATATTAGTAATACTCGTATGACTAGTAATACTGCTAGTACTGTCATTAGTAACCATAGCTGCTAGTAGTAGTATTGATATTACTCATAGTACTAATAACAAGAGGATGAGGAGGAGGAGGAGGAGGAGGAGGAGGAGGAGGAGGAGGAGGAGGAGGAGAAGGGGGAATGGCGGGGGATGAGGAGGAAGGGGGAGGGAGGGGAGATTTGGTCGGCTCGTTCCCTTCCCGAGCGGTTGCCCGAGAGCCCTTGGGTGGGGCTACCTATGCGGCGTGCCTCGTCGAGGCCCTTCCCCATCGCTTACAGATCAGAGAGCAGGGAGTTTCTCAGGGTTGGTGAGAGCACAGCTCAAGACAGAGCCGTGGGGACGCGCCTCACGAAACCAGATGCTTTCGGGCACCCGGCTTTCTTCGCTGTGCACGCTGTGCACTGACGTCCCGCGGGCATCAAAGGAATTATTGCAAGGTCGGGTCTCTTGCGAGAAGGTTTCTTGTGGCCGCGTCCGCGCTGTACGGAACAGCACAGTTCAGCACAGCACGGCACAGCGCAGCGCAGCACACCACAGCACCTGGCACGGTATCGTCACCATGGATACCCTCAGCGTTGCCATTGTCTATTGCCGCCCAAGTTTGGGCAGTTCTGTGTGCTTTTCCGGGTTCGTGAATCGATCATTGTGATAGTCTTTGGGCCTTCTAAGGCCCCCGCAGGCCCTAATTGGCCCAAACCGCCCGTCCTGATTCTTCAGGGCGACAGGGGGTCTGAGATGCGCACCAGCAAGAAAGTAAGGATGGCGGGCGTTCGCGAGTGAGCGTCCCGCGTGAGGTCTCCCGTAGGGCGCCCTGTCCTCCACTCGGTGTGTCGCGACAGCGGCCAGTGGATGCCACCGCGCAAGATAGCTGAGTCCTCTTGCGGAACCCAGACATCCGATGTCTAGGTTTTTTCAGTGCAGGCTCCCAGGAAGTCCCGACCCTTTCCACCGGGCTGGTTTACCACCCCGAGTTTTCTCGACGAGTTCTGTGGCGGTTCCGGGGCCCCGCGAGGGCCCCCCGAGGCCGAACCCAGCCGGAGACCTCCCGCCCTGATTTACGAGCGACCCGAGCCGCTCTGGGAGGATCCTTCCGCTCCTCCGCCGCTCAGGTGGGGCGCCGCCGCCCCGAGCCCGCCGTCCGACCGCCATGCCTGGCTGACCGCCGCGCTGGTGGGCGGAGGCCCCGAGCTGGGAGCCCCAGGCTCTGTCCGAGAGCGGCGGCAGTCGCGCAAGGCCCGGGGGCGCCCCGAAAGCGCGGCGCCCGGCGAGCGCGCACGGCCGACGCCGCGGCCCAGCGCTCGGCGCCGCGGTCCAGTGCTCGGCGCCGCGGTCCAGCGCTCGGCCATGGGCCTCCCAGAAGGGGTCCGAGTGGATGGGGTCGGAGGATCGCGCCGCATCGCCGGGTGCATCGGCGCTGGGGTTCGGTGTGGAGCCGATTTTCTCCACGCCGACGTCGCCCATGCATCGTCGATGCATCGCCGATGCGTCGGCGATGCGGACCTCATCTGGGAGGCCTCTATCAGCGGCGCTGGGCTACGGCGCCGTGGACCATGTGGCCGGGCGGCGGACCAGGGCCGTGGTCCACCTGCCCCACTGGATGGGCGGGGGGGCCAGGCGCACACGTGAGCAGACCATTCTGGGGTACAAGGAGCGGTCGGGGTCGGCTGCTCGGGAGACATTCGGTTTACTGAGTCCGCAGAGCCCCCCGCGGGGACACGAACATTCAAAACTACGAATGCCATCTGATTCGTAGGATTGGCCCTCGACGCTCTTGGGGCAGCGATTTGAGCGGCTTTCTTGGACGTTCTTGGGCTTCTCTTGGATCTCGGGGAGGTCTTCGCGCAGTCTCGGATGGGCCGTGTTCGTTTCGATTTCGCTCAGCAGCAAAAGGCGGATCGAAGACAGAAACGAGCGAAAACGATAACACAACGAAAGCGAACAGCACTGTTTAGGTCGATCCCTGCAAGCGGGCTCGAAGAGATTACCAATATTCAGGAGGGGAAAAAACACAGACACAATTAATCGGCGATTCCCAGAAAATATTGGAAAATATGGGAGGTGGGGGGGGAGACAAAAACCCAGAACATATGGGAAAATACGGGGGATATTTTTGTTTGTGTGTATTTATTTGTGTGTCCCAGTTCCCCTTCAAAGATGCCGAAGCGCCCCCCCCACGCCTGGGGCGATCGCGCGCGGCAGACGCCGTGGCGCCCAGCCGGCGAGCGCTTGGCCTCGGCGCCGCGGTCCAGCGCCCCGCGGCGCGGGGCTCCGCGGCGCCGTGGCGACGTTTTGGGGCACCTGGCGCTCCCCACCTCGGGAGCTGGAGCACTCTGCAAGGGCGCCCTCGAGGGCGCGAAGTCATTCGCGCTTCGCGCTTCGCGCTTCGGCTCCGGTCCCTCCTCGTCCTCCCCTTCTCCCCTGGGAGGCCGCGCGAGGGCGCGAAGTTATTCGCACTTCGCGCTTCGCGCAGCGCGCAGCGCGAAGTTGGGAGCCCTTGATTCTTGTTACGTCGTCGGCGAGGCAGGGGTCGTCTGCGCTGGCGGAAGGAGCTAGAAGGGGGGTACCGTTGAAGCGAATTGGGCCACCATGCAGGAGTGGGGGGGGGAGGAGGACGCGGCCGAGAGAAGGGGCGGAAGTAGCCAGCCGCTCAGTGGGACGGGTCACGCCCCGAGCGTGTGGCGCGGCCGGCCCCGCCGGCGGGCCCGCGGCGGCTGCTTCGTCGAGAAAAAAGGCTGAAGTATACCTACCCGCAAAGTACGGATGGGCAACCTTCCCAAGGGTACCCATGCCTCCTGAGTCAATCCTTGGCGACTTTCGTTGGCCGCGCCCCGCCCGTGAAGCTTCGAAATGGCCTTCCAAGGCCCTTGGTATCCTTATCGTGTGTCCTTCTCATACGGGTCGACTGTAGACAATCCCAGGACTGTTTGAGGGTCGGGGACGACGCCGGGGGAAGAGGGACAAATGCATACACCAGGGTCCCGTATACACCAGGATCCGCTTTCTTAAGCAAACAAAAGGCAGGGCCAGAAAAAGCGTCGGTGTATAGAATTCGGTTCCCTACCCTCCTCCCCCCTTCCGTTCGTTGTCTCCGTGGTCGTCGTCGTCCCAGGCCAAATTCTCGAGGCCACGGCCTCATTCACCTGGCCTAGACTACGCAACGGTCGCATCGCCTCCTCCTCATCATCCTCCTTCCTCTCCTCCTCCTCTTCCTCCTCCTTCTCCTCCTCCTCATCTTTCGTCCTCTCCAACCTCCTTCTCCTCCCTCTCTTGCATCCCTCTTCCTGATAAGCCAACTCCACCCTGCCGCGCCACCAGACGTGTCCGTAGGTCGGGCGGACGTGTCCATGCGATTCGCGATCCTCAAGTCTAGAAATCTGCAACACACTCACGGATGGAGGGCTGGTTTCAAAATGGAGCCTTCGCATTAGCGCCGCGCACATTCGTCCGGGTTGGTGGTTTTCAAAATGGGGCTGTCACCTTAGCGCTGCGCACACGAGTCTTAAAGCTTGCAGCAGCTATCTATAGGAATGGAGGCCGGTCCGTTTTGAAAATGTGGCTATCTTGGGACTTCCTAGAACTTTTTGACTCAAGGTCCCAAAGTGTGCACTGGTTACGCGGATGGCGGGTGGCTCCTTGTCTTCAAAATGGAATTCTGGATTGTTGTGTCCAGATTTTGGAATCGTGCGACGCCTACATCTACGCGGGTGGAGGGCATATTATAATCAGCACAGTAACCCGCTGGACGCTTTCTTTGCCTTTTCATCCTATTTCTTTGCGCCTCTTTCAATCCGAAGGACAAGAGGGTTGATCCTTGGCAAAGCAGGGTCTCACCTGGTTCGCAGGCCCACCAGGTGCCCGTCGTTCAAGGAAGCGCCTTCCGCACCGAAGAGGAAGTCTTCTGGGGACGCGTGGGGAGGGCTGGGAAACTCGAGGGACCATTTGGCCGCGCCTCGCTGGGCGGCCCGGGGGGCCCGAGCAAGGCCTTCTACGAGGAGGCCGCGGCGTGGCCGCAGGCCAACCTGAAGGCCATCGCGACGGGCAGGCAGCAGGTCGCCCAGGGCCCTCAGGACATCTACGAGAATACGTGGGTCATGGTGGCGGCGGGTATGGCGGAGGAGGGGGGGAGGGGAGGGAAGGGAAGGGAAGGGAAGGGGGGGAAGGGGAGGGGGAGGAGGAGAAGGAGGAGGAGGAGAAGGAGGAGGAGGAGGAGGAGGAGGAGGAGGAGGAGGGGGAGGAGGGGGAGGGGAGGAGGAGGAGGAGGATGGATGGATGAGGTGGAGAAGCAGGGAGAGGCGGGAGAGCAGGGAGGGAGAAAGGGGTGCAGTGTTTTGCAGGGGCGGGTGGGGAAGGAGGACAGGGGTTGGGGACGCTGCACCCTCGTCCTCCAGGTTTGCCGGACCTGGCGTCCACCTCGGCGTCCCAGGGCAGGGAAGAGGAGGAGGAGGAGGAGGAGGAGGAGGAGGAGGAGGAGGAGGAGGAGGAGGAGGAGGAGGAGGACGAGGATGGGGGAGGGGGAGGAGGAGGAGGAGGGGGAGGAGGGGGAGGGGGAGGAGGAGGAGGAGGAGGATGGATGGATGAGGTGGAGAAGCAGGGAGGCGGGAGAGCAGGGAGGGAGAAAGGGGTGCAGTGTTTTGCAGGGGCGGGTGGGGAAGGAGGACAGGGGTTGGGGACGCTGCACCCTCGTCCTCCAGGTTTGCCGGACCTGGCGTCCACCTCGGCGTCCCAGGGCAGGGAAGAGGAGGAGGAGGAGGAGGAGGAGGAGGACGAGGATGGGGAGGGGGAGGAGGAGGAGGAGGAGGAATCGCAAAAAGAGGAGGAGGAAAACGAAGAGGAAAGGGTATTTATGAGGGAGTGCGCAGTATGCTGTGGAGGAGGAGGACCAGAGGAAGGCCAGGATGCGCAAGCGACGCAGCAGCTCCGCCCCCCATCCCGCGTCCTTCCTCAGACGTCCCAGCAAGTTTTTTTGTTGTTTTTGCTGTTGTTGTTGCTGCTGCTGTTGTTGTTGAACTTTCATTTCCGAAGAATGTATATTTTTGATCCCCCCTCACCGGTGCAGACTGTTTTTTCTCAATCAAAGTGTGCCCCTCGACGCACGCACCCTGTTTTTTGACAGGGAAAGTCTTGATGCTCAAACTGCGCCCTGGCCCCTGGTTTACAACAACAACGGCTCCCACCTGAGACTTCCTCCAAATTTACTCAGGACACCCGCTCCCGCCTGAGACTTCCTCACAATTTACTCAGGATCGGTGCTCCCTCTTGTGACTTCCTCCTACTTTAGTCAGGACCCCCGCGCCCATGTGAAATTTCTTCGCATTTTACTTAGGAGCGGCGCTCCCGCTTGAGACTTTTTCGCAATTGAGTCAAGACTTCCTCGCAATTTAATCAAGACCCCCGCTCCCGCCACAGAATCCTTCACATTTTATTCAGGAATTGCGCTCTCGCCTGTGACTTCCATGCAATTTATTCAGAAATCGCGCTTTCGACGCTCAGGAAACACGCTGCGCCAAGGACGCCGTCACAATTTACTTAGGAATCGCGCTCTCGCCATACTCAGGCATCCCGCTTGAATGTCCCACCCGCCCGACCCGCCCGTCAGGGGATCGCCCGCCCGTCGTGGGCTCCCGCCATAGACTTCCTTCAGAAACGGCGCTTTCGCCTAGGACTTTCTCGAACGTTCACGCTCTTACCTTCCTGCTCATCCTCCTTCTCCCTCCTCCCTCCTCCCTCCTCTCCTCCCTTCTCTCTCCCTCCTCTCTTCCCTCATCCTTGCGCCTCTCTGCCCTCTCCCCTCTCCCTCCTCTCCCTCCTCCCTTCTCCCTCCCCTCTCCTGCCTCCTCCTTCTTTCTTTCTTTCTTTCTTTTTCTTTCTCTCTCTCTCTCTCTTTCCCATCTCTCTCTCTCTCTTTCTCTACCTCTCTTATCTTTCTTTCTTTCTTTCTTTCTTTCTCTCTCTCTCTCTCTCTCTTTCTTTCTCTGCCTCTAATCAACCGCCCCCCTCTTGGCTCCTTCTCTCCTAGCGTTTTCCCTCTCCCTTCGTCCCTCCCCCTACCTTCCTTCCACTCTCCCTCGTTCTCCCCCTCTTTTTGCAGGGCCCACGCCAATCCCAATGGCGGGCACATGTACGCCCACGAAGGATTGTCCGCCCGTTCAGGTTTGCCCGCCTGTTTAAACCCGCCGCCCTCCGCAAAGAGAAATAATCCCCCCAAAGGCGGTGTGATCGAAAACAAAAAGAGCGGGTATCGAGGGTGTGGGGAACTCGTTTTGAATGACACACGGGCAAGTAAGAGCGAACAGTCTTATATTGATTGTTGTTGTTGCTGTTGCTGTTGCTGTTGCTGTTGTTGCTCTTGTTGTTGTTGCTGTTGCTGTTGCTGTTGTTGTTGCTGCTGTTGTTGTTGCTGTTGCTGTTGTTGTTGTTGTTGTTGTTGTTGTGGTTGTTGTTGTTGTGGTTGTTGTGGTTGTTGTTGTTGTTGTGGTTGTTGTGGTTGTTGTTGTTGCTGTTGTGGTTGTTGTGGTTGTTGTGGTTGTTGTTGTTGTTGTTGTTGTTGCTGCTGAATGCCCATTTCTCTTAAGAATAATTATGCTGATCGCCGGAAACGGTTCCGCGCGCTCTCGCCTCGACGCCGGCTGCATGTTCTTTGAAAGCGAGGCTCCCGTGCGGGCGTTGGCTTGGCCCTGAATGTGGGCCCTTGGAGGCCCGGCTACGACAGTCACGGCTCCCGCTCGATACTTCCTCACACTTCACCCCGGGACACCCTGGCCAGAGAGGCCCCCGAACTCAGGAACGGCGCTCTCGCTCGAGACTTCCCAGTTGGCGGAGGCCCAGCCACGACGACGAGGGCTCCTGCTCGATGCTTCCTCTCGATTTGCTCGGAGAGTCCCTGGCCAAGAAGGCCCCCGAACTCAGGAACGGCGCTCTCGCTCGAGACTTTCCCGTAATTCAGGCAAGTTGGGGGAGGCCTGGACACGGCGACAAGGGCTCCCGCTCGATATTTCTCCATAGGTATTCCGAGAGCCCCCGGCCAGAGAGGCCCCCGAATTCAGGAACGGCGCTCTCGCTCGAGACTTTTTCGCACTTCAGTCGATGGCCGACAAGGAAGATATTCCCCCCGACAGGGGGTGTAATTGAAGACGAAGGGGGCGGGTATCGAGGGTCGCGGTATACGGAATGCAAGACGCTCGTGCCAGTAAGAGCGAACAGTCTTGAAATGATTGTTGTTGAACATTATTTATTCTAAAGAATAATTATTGTTGGGACCCCTGGTGCGCGACCCCCTCGCCGCGCCTAGGCCGCAGCTACATTTTCATCATTTTCGTGAGGAAGCCTCAGGTAATACGATGTCATCAAGATCCGGTTGTTTTGTTCCCCCCCGCTGTCCCTTGCAAAAAACACTATAAAATGAAATTTCTTGTTCTAAAATAACCAAACTTCAAGAATCCCTTGCAAAAAATAAGGTAAAGTGGACATTCGCGCGCGCAAGACGAAATCCTTCCAAAACCTTAGTGTTCGTAGCGATTTCAACATAAAAACATCAAAAAACCAATGTTTTTTTTTTTTTTTTTTTTTTTTTTTTTTTTTTTTTTTTTTTTTTTTTTTTTTTTTTTTTTTTTAAAAAAAAAAAAAAAAAAAAAAAAAAAAAATGTCACAATTTCATCCCGCGCGCTCTTGCGGATTTGCAGGAAACCCAACTTTTTTAAACATTTCTGTCAAACGGGCTTTTGCGATCAACTTCTTCACGTGCTTCGAACTTCTCCAACAACGGTTGCGCACCTGCCAGGGCCATCATCCCTGTCAAATAATACCATGCGGGACACATTCGTTTTTTCTTTCCGTGCGCACGCCGAAATCTTCAAAAACCATTGGGTTTCGTAGGAATTTTAGCACCGCGCAACATAAAATCATTTTTCGCACCGTAGGCCCTTCAAATCGTCGTCGTCGTATACTAAGCTAGTTTCCACAAGATGTTACCACAAGAAGTCATTGAAACCATGCGCCAGTGTAGTAGCCACGGTCGTCCGCATGCCACGAAGTGAAGTGTCCGAACGTCATAGGGCGGGAAGCTGGGTGTGGGTGGTGGCGAAGAGTCGTTTGGAAATGTGGTAGAGCTTGAACCGGCCCCCCCACAAAGTGGGGGTATTGGCGGGCGTCGTATGAAAACCCTGGCACTGGTGAGAACACTGAGCGTTCGGGTAAAATGATTGTTGTTGTTGTTGTTGCTGTTGCTGTTGCTGTTGCTGTTGCTGTTGCTGTTGTGGTTGTTGTGGTTCTTGTTGTTGTTGTTGTTGTTGTTGTTGTTGTTGTTGTTGGTGTTGTGGTTGTGGTTCATAGTTTGTTACAGATTACAGGCAGTACCCCCTTGAAGAACGAGCGTCGCATGAGCCTGCCATTCAGGCGAGAGCCCAGTATTGAAAACGGGACCGTCCTCCATCCTTGCAATTCTCTGGAATGTCCTCGCCCTCTGTTGCCGCCCCCCCTCTCTTTCACCGTGGGCTATATCGGAGCTGTGTTGGTTGGGTTGTCTAGGCGTTGTCTCGAAGCATCGTTGATTGAGATTTGAACTTTTGATTGGACGTTTCGTTGCCTTCTTGGAGCGTTTTCCTCATGTTCTGTATTGGAGGCTCTCTTGGACCGAACAGGGGTTGCCTGAGGCAATCTTGGGTGAACTTGCGCGGTTGGGATTGTCTTTGAGCTCTTTGCACACTTCCTCATATCCGAGAGTTCGTGACCTCGGGTCCAGAGCGGGGTGGCCGACCAGCGACCCATGAACAGACATACCAACACAGAACGTCATGTTCTTTTGGCTCTTGGGAGGGGAGGGCGCTTTTGGACGGCCTCCACGGTGGGTTCGGTGGCTTCGGGTGCGCGTACATCAGGATCCTTGCCTCGGGGGCACGAGCTCACGGTAATTTATGAGGGATTTTAGCCTCGGGGGCGCGAACGCGTCGCAATTGAAACAGATTGTGGCCGCCGGAGCGCGACTGCGTCATAAGTTGCCAGGGATGGATGAGCCTCGGGAGCGCGAAAGCGTTGTAATATAATTATGACGGATCGTGATTTCGGGCGCGCGACTTCGTTCTAGCTGACGAGGGGGTGT